ACCTAGAGCAGCAGACTCAATGCCCGGGTCGGGCGGAAAACACCGGTAACAGTCACCCTCATCACTAATAGTCACAGTATACATGGCAGCAAGAATAGCATCAAAGTCAAGGTCAAAGACAGCTACACCCGCCCTAGACAGCTCACCCCAGCGGGGGATCTCAGTGGCCTCAGGGAACTGGTGACGCCAAGCGTCCGTCAGGCGGCCAAAGCAGCGCTGGGTGGAGTGCGCACCCCAGCACTGCTCACCCGCGCGGTCTCCGGTGCGTAGGACGTAGGTGCACGGACCAGTACCCCCACCCCGCTGGCGTGCAGCGTACCACTCACGGAGCTGCTGAGGGGGGGGGATGTCACGAGTGCGCTGCTGCTGCTGCTGCTGCTGCTGCTGCTGCTGCTGGCGCTGACCACCACCGGAGCCGACCCTCTGCGCAGCGCCACCCCGACCAACTCCACCTCCTCCGCCGCCGCCTCCTCCACCGCCGCCACCTCCGCTCCCACCGCCACCGCCGCCGCCGCCTCCGCCTCCACTGCCGCCACCGACACCTCCACCCCCGCCACCACCCCCACCGCCACCCCCACCCCCTCCACCGCCTCCACCGCCGCCTCCACCGCCCCCGCTAGCTCCTCCAGTGCCCCTGCCCCCCTTGCCCTTGCCAGGGCGGCGTCTCCCGCTAGGGGTAGACGCCGCACCGACCGACTCAAGCCCAACGAGGTCGGCCGCAGCAGCAGAGGCAACAGAGGGCAAGAGGGGGGAGGGGGAACACCCCTCAAAGATGGGGGTGCGAGGGTCACCACGAGAGGCTCCTACAGCGACTATGCTCTTCTCTGCTGCTAGGAGGGACTTCTCGAGGAGGTCAACGGTGAGAGTGGTGGGGCAAACGGAGAGGAAGTGGTCCCTGACTACGCGAAGGGAGTCAGGGAGCCGGGTGACTATGTAGTAGAGGGTGATGTACATGGGGGGGGGGTTCTTGGCGCAGAACTCAGCAGGAAGCGCAGCGCGGTAGCGAGTGTCACTAGTGCGGAGGTGCGTAATGAGGTCAGCGACTGTGGGAAAGGCAGCAAGGTCAGGGAAGAGGTACGGTAGCATGAGGCGGCTCAGTGCAGCAGTGGCAGGGGAGGAGTAGCGCGCAACTACAGCGTCGTACAAGGTCTGAGCACTCTTGTACTGGCTAAAGTGCGCACGCTCAGAGGTAGGCAGGTGGCGACGCACAGCAAGACGTGCAGCAGCATCGCGAGTGGCCCACTGGGAGCGAACAGTGGCGTCGGCATCAGCAGCAGGGGCAGGAGAGGCACCAGAGGTGAGGTCAAAGAGGGAGAGACCGTCTGCCCTATCGCACTGTAGGAAAAGCTGCAAGTCATCGACCCAGACGTCAAAGTCAATGGCCCGACCCTCAGCGTCAAAAGCGAGGACACTAGGGGTAGCCATGACAGCAGTAGACTAGCAGCGCGAACAGTAGGGTAAGGGCAGTGCAGTGACAGAGGCGCTGCTCTTACCAGACAGGGCGGCTCGGGTGGCTCGGCGGCTCAGCGGCTCGGCAACTCGGCGGCTCGGGCGGCTCGGGCGGCTCGGCGGTACGGCGGCTCGGCAGCAACAGCGGCTCGGCGACTCTGCGGCTCGGGCGGCTCGGGCGGCTCAGCGGTACGGCGGCTCGGCAGCACGGGCGGCTCAGGTGGCGCGGCGGCTCGGGCGGCTCGGGTGGATCGGGCAGCTCGGCAGCAGCTCGGCGGCGCCGGCGGCTCGGTGGTGACGGCGGGGCCGCGCGGGGAGCGGCGGCGGGGCCGGGTGGAGCGGCGCCGGTAGGGCCGAGGCGCACCGGCGGGTGCAGTCAGCGGCGGCAGCAGCTGCGGCCCCGAGGGAGGTGGTGGCGGCTGCTGCTGGCGACGGCTGCGGCTGCTGCTGCAGGGACGGCGGCGGCCGCTGCTGTAGGGGCTGCGACGGCGGGCCGGAGGGGGGGCGGCGACAGGGCCGCGAAGGGCGGCGCGAGGGGCCGCGGAGGGCGGCGACGGGCCGTGATAGGGCGGCGCGAGGGGCCGCGGAGTGCGGCAACGGGCCGTAGGGGGGGGGCGTGAGGGGCCGCGGGAGGGGCCGTAAGGGGCGTAAGGGGCCGCGCGAGGGGCCGTAAGGGACGGCGCGAGGGGCCGTAAGGGGCCGCTAAGGGCGGCGCGAAGGGGCCGTGAGGGGCCGTGAGAGGGCGCGACGGTAGGGAGGGCACACAGGGCGCGACTCGGGCAGGAGCGAGGCGCGCTCCGGGCAGGAAAAAAAAAATTCGTGGTGGGCCCTAGGAAGTGTTCCCACTAGGGAACCTGCTCGATACCATGAGAAGAAACGAGGAATGAAATGACTAAAGGAAAGTTGGGTACAAAATCAAACCCTAGAAAACTGTACCCCATATGTGCTACCCCACTATAGCCTACAGTAGCTATGTCATATAAATCTGACAAAAGCCATCAGTACAGGGTAAGAGTAAAGAATCCAGCGGCAAAGAGCACAGCGGAAGAGGAAGAGGGTGCGGAGCAGCTCGGCGTATACCGTTCATCTCATGAACCTTTTTAACCGACAGGTTCCAGTTGGTGAAGTTCTCCTGCCTTGTGGTGATATAGCGGTCATGATAGCGGGACAGGTGCGGACCGCTGCAAAGTTCGCAGGTGAGTGATGGGTAATGGAGCAGGTAGCGCTTCTTCGTCATCGGGTCCTCCACGAAGTACCTCCAGCGGTACTCGTCATCAGCATGGGGGACAACCAGGCCTCGAATACGGTCGGTGTCAAGTCCGGTGACCGGGTCCAGCGTACGATGAAAACCAAAACCACTGGCGAAGGCACTCCTGCCACGCTTAACCAGCTTCGACACCACCAGCAGATGACGGACAAGCTCAGCAGTGATCTCGGCTGGCACTCCTTTAACGACAACCTCCTGCGCCAAAGGATTCAAAACACGTTCACGAAGAAAGCGAGCATCCTCCGGGTACTGCCAGGTGAGGTCGATGATGTCCCCATTTACGCATTCGTGCTTGATGACTTGATTCCAGACGTAGTTGGCGTCTCTGACATGATTGAAGGTGACCTGCAGCCGACCATAGCGGTTGCCGGAGAAATATGTTGCCGTGAGATCCTGGTAAGTCGTCGTCTGCAGCACATCCGGGGACAACTGATCCTTCCAGTCATCCAGCAGAGCTGCAATCGTTATCGCAGCGCGTTTGACTTCCGCTTTCCTGAAGATCGGCACCAGCAAGGTTAGTGTGAAGCGTTTTAAAGCCAAAGCACTGGTAAGCGAAGCAGGCTCAAGGTGCTCGTCCGAGTCATCGCTTAGATATCCATCATCCTCATCCTCTGGGACCGGATCTGACAAATCCTCCTCGTCGTCGTTGATGTTGACGCCAGCAGCATCCGCTTCCCCTTCCGCTTTCTGATCCTTGGTTCCGGAGCCTTCTCCGTTATCATCGTCACCATCACCTGAGTCGTCCGCATTATCCTCCTTGTTCTGCAGGTCGTGCAGATCCTCAAACGGTCCAATCACAGCAGGGGGTCGTGGAGTGGAAGGCTTGCCATGTCCAGCAGCGTCCGGCACAGGTGCGTCCGGTACGTTCACTTCCGTCTCCTTTCCTTGATCATCATTGTCCGTCTTCTTGCTCGACTTGTTGTTGCGTCCCTTCCCCATTGTGCGATGATGAAGATAGCTTGACAGCCCGGAAATGGCTGAGAAGCAAGCTGATCTGAGCACTGAAAAGTCTGACAGTTTATATCTCTTGTGCTTGAAAGCAAACCGCTGCAGGTCCAGACCCGAGGGAGGAAGTGTATCCCTGGAGAATGACATATTGCCTCGGGAAAGGGTCGTCTTGAGAATAGTTGTGCATTGGAAACTGTCAGCGTGGAGATTGACGCGATGTAGTATCTTAGCCAGCAATGAGACGCGATGGAAACCATGGAGTAGCCCGTAGCCTTGGTTATAGTTGCATGTCTTTAACTTGCATGATGATAGTTGAAACTTGGACGATAGCCTGGAACTCAAGTAAATGGTCTTTAGGTTCCCGTAACGACCATTTTGGTTTTGACGGTTCGTTATTCGGACGGTCCGTTCGAAATAGTGGTAACGTTTGTCGCCAATGATCGTCGATGTTTCGTTAGTCACCTTCCGACGTCGCCGTCGCAACATAACCGTACAGAACTTTTTCCGCAAAACGGAGGGAACCCGTCACTTGGACGGTTAGGGTTCGTCAGCAACGAACTGATCAAATATGGCGACTTGGCGCGCGAAAAGACGCTGATTTTGCGGGAACTGTCGAAACTGACCTTTCATCGCTGCCAAAATGACCGTAGATTGTGTTTCGAGTTTTTTAATCTGAGCCGCCAAACTAACTGTACGAATGTCGCCTGATTTCGTAACATTTCTCAGTTTCGCGAGTATTCAAAACTTGAAAAAAGTTCAACTCGACGGTTCGAATATTCGAGTTCTGTTTCGATAAACGGACGGTTCCATATCGGAAACGGACCGTCCATTTTATCGAACGTTCGTTTCTAAACGTAACTTCAAGAAAAACCAAAATGGTTACGCGCCCTTAGTCATTCCGTTCACGTTCCTTCCTTCAGTTTGTTGACGTCTCTAGGACCCAACTAATCTCGGAGGACACAGTTTACTTCCCGCGCATTCATCTTCCTTCAGTACGTCGGCAGTGTGCGCGCGCATGGCCCCACCTTCCGTGCAAAGTGCCGCATATTCATGGCAGCAGCAGGCCGCCGTGCGCCCATGCTGCGATCCGTCGATCACAGTCAGCGTGCGAAATCCAGCTACGATTTACCCACGATCGCGTGTGCAACATCCTGCGACGAGCAGTCGCCGGACTTTAGAACGCCCTGCCTGGCGGAACAGGAATTCGCGAGTCTTGCCACTAAACGAGTCCTTCCGTTGTAATTTCTGTCTAGATCGAACATCAATTCCGGCCTTTCCGAGCCAAATTGTCAGGCATCGTTTGTCGGATAGTGGACCGGAGTTGTTTACCCGGAAAATGGCTTCTACCTGCGGTCGAACAGGTTCGGTTTTTCAAATGGTGTGTACCAGCCGAACAGGTTCTACCTGCCGAACGGCGATGGGCATAACGTGGTCTGCTTATAGCGGGAGCTTCGCACTTCCGAGGAGGCGATTGGCTCCCGCGATCTCAGCGCGTTTGGGCTCCGGAGACGATGCGTCAGGACCTTTTGCCAAGCTGGCATCTCTGATCCCGACTCGTACAACTCCTAAGTCTCCCACCAGGAAGGGAAAGAGTGTCACAGACGAAAATACGGCAGGAGAAGTAGCGACGCAGGTGGAGAAGCGGGCTGTGGACAAGCAGGTGGATGCGCTCGATCCAGAGCTTGACGACGGAGCGAGTGCTGGGAGGAATCTTGGTAGAAACGAGCTGCAGCAGCAGCAGCAGCAGCAGCAGCAGCAGCAGCAGGAGGAGGAGAAGAGACCGGGGGAGCAGGGGACGAATCAGACACATCAGCAACAGAAGCAGAAGCAGCAGAAACAGCAGCAACTGGTGAGGGGTGATTCAACGCCAGAAGGCGTGCGGGGGAATGGCAAGGGAGGAGCAACAGGTGGCGAAGGTGATTCTAACGGTAGACCCCCTGGGAATCGTCAGAAGCGACAACAGCGAGGGGTGGCAGCAGGGAGCAGTCGGGTTGGGGTGGGAGCAGAGGGGCAGGAGCGAGGGGCGAAGTCAGGGGAGAAGGAGAAGCGAAAAGGGCAGGCAGGAAGTGGGTTAGGGTACGTGGATCAGCTGCGGGCGCTGCAGGCTCAGATGCAAGGCGCGGAGGGTAAGCCAGCAGAGACTAAAGTAGCAGAGCTCAAAGCAGCGGAGAAGCAGCGGCAGCAGCAAGCAGCGAGACGGTTTGAAGAGAGCGAAGAGCGGATGGGGAAGCAGGGTTTCAAGGTCGGGGAGGTCGAAGTGCCTCTTGAGTCGTCGACTCAAATGAGAAAGTGGTCAGAGGGCAGGAAGGTGGAAGTGCAGGGGGGTAACGCAGCAGCAGAGGCGCAGCAGCAGCAGCAGGACGCAGTGCCAGCGAGCCGTGGTGGGGAAAGGCGAGAGACGAAGGGGAGCAATGCAGGGAACGGAGTAGGAACAAGTAAGAAGGTACAAGTGCAGGAAACGCAGGCGCGATACCCCTGGGATGATACAGAGGAGCAAGCTGAACTGGAGGAGGGGGAGAAAGAGATGGGAAAGGGTCGCAGGGTTGAGGGCGCTGATGAGAGCGGCGTTGGGGTTGGTGCTGCAGGCCAAACCGGTGTTGACAGAAGCAGAAGAAGAAGAGAGGCGGAGAGAGGAGAGGCGGACAGACTAGAGGAGGTCAAAGGAGAGAAGGACAACGGGTCGAGGGTGGATGAAACGGGTGCAGGGGTTGTCAGTAAAGCAAGCAGGAGTGGAGAGCGTGGGGAGAAGGCGAGAGAGGGGGGTGGAAAGGAGAGTGGGGTTACAAGAAAAGGCGAGGAGAGTGGGGGTGAGAATAAGCGGAGTGGGCGAAGCAGTGCATCCAGATGGGAAAGAGGTGGCAAAACGGAAGAGAGGGCAGGCACCAAGATGGAAGTTGAGAGTCAGCTGGAGGAGGAGAAGCAGCAGGGTAAGCAGCAGCAGCAGCAGCAGCAGCAGCAGCAGCAGCAGCAGCAGCAGGAGAAGCAGAAGTTGAAGCAGAAGCAGAATGGCAGCAGTACTGGTGGTGGTAAGGCTGTATCAGGCACTGTTGCCGCTGGTGCTTCAGGCAGCGTAAGCACCAGGAGGAGTTGGAGCAGGAAAAGCAGATCTGGCAATGCAAGTGGGAACGACAGCGATAGCGACAGCGAAAGTGGAAGTGAAGGGGATGGGGAGGATGCAAAGAAGGGCGTCGTACCAGGCACTGACGAGAAGGATTGGAAGGAGGTCTGGTCGACAATCGACACTGAGGTGAATGGTGACGGTGGTGGGCTTTCGGATGGTTCGTCGTCGCCTCGGCCTCGGCGGCAGCTGCCACCAATCACAGGCGAGATGGTTCTGGCCGGCATGCAACGAATGGCGGAGGAGAGAGCTGCTGCTTCTGCAGCCGCAGCAGCAGCAGCTGCTGCTGCTGCTTCTTCTGATAGTGAGGATGAGGAGGGACAGAGGAGGGTGAAGGGAGTGAGGGGACGAGGGAGAGGAAGTGGGCGGAATGCTCTGAGTTCAGTGGAGCTGGATGATTTGGAACCGATTGTGGTGAAGGAGGAATGGGGAATGGAGCTTGAACGGTTGTTTGGGAAGCTCGAGCAATTGAAGAACAGAGGGTGAACATAGTCAATGCCGTTGATTATGTTGAAGAGTTTGATGCTGCATCAAGTCTTGCGCTCATACAAGAATTGTACCGTCTGATGGAAGTTGGCTTGGATCAAATGAATCTAGGCTGATTGGGAATGGAAATGGATGCCCCCGGATAGAAGCGCAGGCCTCGGATAAGCGCCGGCGCTTATAAAAGGATGAGGGCGCTTATATCCGGTCCTCGATTATAAGCGCACCCCTGAAGGCTTACGGATTATAAGCGCCACCCTTCTTTCTTCTAACTATACTTTTACTGAATTCGTTGTAACGAAACTCAACATCTCCATTCCCACATTTTGAATTTCGATGCCCTTCACCCTCGCTCGGCTCACTGCCAGCGCGTCCAGTCAGAATGAGCTGTCAGGGGCGCACGTTGACTCATTCTGACTGTGTGTGTTGTGTGTGTTGGCAGGGAATCAATCCCTGCCAACTTGCACGCGAGATTTTCAATCGCAACGCTGTATAGTTTCGACTCGATTCAATTTGCAAGAACGGGAGCTACAGTTTGGTGTAAAAACGAAGAATTTCATATATGCTATTATATAAGCACCGGCGCTTATAAAAATCCTCGATTATAAGCCCACCCCCTAAAAAAACGTGTTTTTTTATAACCCTAGAGGCGCTTCTATCCGGGGGCTGACGGTAAATGAGAAACTTACATTCTAAGCACCCAGATATGTTCGTGTTCGGAAGTCCGAATGTGTTACGAGTGCAATCGAGCGAGCGAGCGAGAATTGCACTATCGAAGCAAAAACCATACAATGAGCGAAGGATTGAGCGAGAACTAAATAGCGAAGGCCACAGTGGAAACGGTAACGAACTGTGGGTGACGCGCGACGGGTCTGGGACTGAGGTCGGGGTGCGACGGGCGAGGTGGCGGGAAGATTGTCGAAGCGAGGATTGCGAGTGGTAACGGTGCTGACTGTGGTGCTAAGCAAGGATGGGCGTAAGGAAATAGAAATTTCCTCACACTATCCCCCCCCCTAAGGAGGCCCTCCTTACGAGAGTGCGTGTACGTCCCGGAAATTGCGGCTGCGCAGATAGTCGGTGAGGACGGGGTGGTTCTCAATCTTGTCCAGGGGAACCCAATTGTCTTCAGTTGGTGTGCGGTCTTTCCATCGAATCAGGAACTCGATCCTGCGGGCTCCACGTGGGACACGAACGCGATGGCTTAGAATTTTCTCGGGTGTGATGACTGGCTCGGTGTGTGGTCGTGTCATGCTGGCGGGTCGGTGGCGGGGCAGTTGGCTTGTGGATGGTACGTAAGGGCAGAGGAGGCTGACGTGGAAGGACGGGCTGACGTACCAGTCAGCGGGGAGGAGGAGGTGGGCGGTAACAGGGGTGATCATGTGGCTAATGTGAAATGGCCCACAATATCTGGGGCGGAGTTTCGGGGTGATGGGGAGGCGGAGGTTTTGAGTGTCGAGTAAAACTAAGTCGTCGGGCTGGTAAGTGACGGGACGCCGGTGGCGATCGGCGTTGCGTTTTGCGATTACGTTTGATTTTTTTTATTGCGTCTGCTGCCCGGGCCCGTGCTGCCTGTAAAACCTTGGCGAAATGCTGCGCACGTGGTATGGGGTTGTCGAGATTCGGGGTCATGGGTACTGTGGGGTCTTGTCCGTAGTTCAGGTAAAACGGTGACTGTTGGGTCGTGGCGGATGGCGAGTTGTACGCGAACTCGATGAGTGGCAGTTGCTGTTCCCACGTGCTTGGGTCGTCGCACGTGGCTCGGATAAGCTGCTCCATGGTCTGGTTTGTCCGTTCTGTCTGTTCGTCTGTCTCGGGGTGGTATGAAGAACTGAACTGTAGTCGCGTGCCGCGCCAGAAGTTGCTGGTGAATTTCATATCCCTGTCGCTAATGATTGCTGCTGGTATCCCGTGTAATCGAACGACGGTGGTGATGAAGAGCCGAGCTGTTTCTTCGGCTGAGATGGATTTCTTGCATGCTGCGAAATGCGCCATTTTCGTCAACCGATCGACGACGACCAGGATCGCATCGTTCCCACTTGCCCCGGCCGGTAACCCCGTGACGAAGTCCATCGTCACCTGCTGCCAAGCACGCTCTGGGGGTGGTATCGGCTGCAACTGCCCTGCCGGCCGCTTCCGTGATGATTTCATGAGTTGGCAGGTGGGACACGTACGATGCCACGTGTCGCTGTACGTCGGTCAACATTTCGGGCCAATAGTAATACCGCTGCAGCTGCTGCCGTGTTTTTTCTACCCCGAAATGACCCGAGGTAATGCCGTCGTGTGCTTCCTGTAATAACAGCTCCCTTAGCAAAGTATACCCTGGCACCCAGATGCGGTCGGTGCCAACTTTTACGTAATAAACTCCCTTTGCTGCTGCGAACTGCTGCGAATTGTCTACTGTGAAGAATGGATCGGTTTGATACCCGTGGTAAATAGTCCTGCCAGTAGCGGGCTGGTTTGGGCGAGTAGTATGGCATGAATTTGGGCTGTGGGGCGGGTCAGTGCGTCGGCGATGTTGGATGCCCCTTTTTTGTAGGTGACTGTGTAGTGAAAGTTTGACTCGAGGAAATCGAGCCAGCGGGTCTGTCGTGGGTTGAGGTTTGGCTGTGCGCGGAGGTACTGTAGTGACTTGTGATCTGTCCGTACTTGTGAAAGAACAAGGAATGAAATGACTAAGGAAAGAGTGTGATACAAATATGTAACCCTAGAATTGTGTACCCCTTAGTGTCTAACCCGCTACAGCCTACACAGGCTAAATCATATAAGTTTGACACACCCCCATAGGCAAAGTGGGGGAGAACAAGGGGTCACAAGACCAGTCAAGCAAAGCAGAGCAAGCTCAGGGTGGATCACAACGTCACCACACATTTTTAGCACAGGTTCAAGGCCACAAGGCCAGTTCACATGCAGGATCATATATATAAAGGTAAACAAGCAAGTGCAGGTATATATAGATCACAGTACAAGCAAGGTCACGAAGTGAGCAAGTGAGGCCAAGTAGGCACAAGACCTAGCATCGTACAAAAGCGCTGATGATCACAAGGCTGAAGTGCCTTGGTAAAGATATCAGCAGTGTTGGCCTGAGAGGCCACGTAAGCAAGGCGCAGCTGACCACGCTGCTGCAGCTCACGAGCAAGGAAGTAGCGAAGAGCAATGTGCTTAGTTCTGTGCTCCAGTCTGTGCTCCCGACACAAGGCCAGCATGGCCTTATTGTCTACGTACAGAACTGGAGGAGAACGAGGCGGCTCTCCCAGGTCGGTCAGCAGGTAGGTGAGCCAGCGTAACTCCTGTGCAGCCATGGCCCCTGCGTAGATCTCGGCCTCACAGCTGGAGCCGAGAACAGAAGACGAGCGGGTAGACCGCCACAAAACAGAGCCGGAACCAAGGCTGAAGGTGTAACCCTGTGACGACCGCTGCGTAGCCAAGTCGTCAGCCCAAGAAGCGTCTGCGTGACCAGTGAGGACCACTGGACTCTGCCCTCCAAGCACAAGCCCCATGCCCGACGTACTGCACAAGTAGCGCAACACCCTCTTCGCTGCAGCCATGTGCTCTGGTCGGTGTCTCCCAGGAGCAACATAGCGTGCCAGGATGCTAAGAGGGTATGCTAGGTCAGGACGAGTGCAGGTCATCAGGTACATGAGGCAGCCGACAAGCTCTGGGTACGGGCCACTCGGCTCTACGGACTCATCCGAAGGCAGAGCTGAGAGCGAGTGGCGAGTAGACAGAGGAGTGGCTGAGGCGAGGAGTACGTGAAGTTGAAGCGCTGAATGACCTGCTGCACCATGTGTGAATGAGTCAGGGTAAAGGTGCGCCGTGCTCTGTCCCGGGTGATCTGCAAGCCAAGATAGCTGCGCAGCTCACCCAGGTCTGTGCACGTGTGTCTCTTCTGCAGCTCCGACTTCACGTGGGCGAGTCCAGCAGTGTCAGCAGTAGCAAAGACCAAGTCGTCGACGTACACGAGGATGTAGAACGGCGGCAGCGAGGTGTCGGTGCGTAGAAACAGCGACGGGTCAGCAGTAGCAGGAGCAAACCCAAGAGCCGCAAGCGTAGTCCTCAGTGTGTCGTGCCACTCGCGGGGCGCCTGGCGGAGACCGTAGACTGGCCGCCGGAGGCTCCACTGGGTACCAGGAGGAAACGACCCAGTGAAGCCAGGAGGGCGGCGCAGCCAGATCTCCTCGTGCAGGCTGCCCTGTAGGAAAGCAGTGCTGAAGTCGAGAGAGTGAAGCTCGTAGTCACGGTGAGCGGCTATGTGCAGCAGTACCCGAAGAGTGGTCATCTTCGGGGTAGGGGAGAAGGTCTGGAAGTAGTCAACTCCCTGCCGCTGACTGAAGCCTCGAGCCACGTAACGCGCCTTGAAGACAGGCGGAGAACCCGGCGGCCGCTTCACCCTGAAAATCCACATGCCACTGACGATGTTCGCCCCAGGTGGGGGAACCTCGTCGACGTAGGTGCCTGTGGACTTCCAGGAAGCCATCTCTGCGTCCATGGCTGACTGCCACTGAGAGGAGTAGGGACCCTCGATCGCCTCAGTGTACGATCGAGGAGTCGGGATGTCTGGTGCATCCGGGTCTCCCTCAGGGGCAATCAGCGTGGACACGAGATGAGGCAAAGCAGCAGCAAAACACTGGAACTCCTCCTGCCTGTCCTCAAGGACGTCCGTGCTAAGAGCACACTCACCCCCGACGGACGGAGGACAGACAGACTCAGACTCAGCAACAAGACTAGCGGCGTAGTCTAGACGACAGCGAGCTGCAAAGTCGACAAGCTCAGCAACCAAGGCAGACGCAGCAGTGGACTCAAAGGAAGGGTCAGTGACAACAGTAGCCAGGAGACGCGTGACGGTAGGACTGGCAGCACGAAGAGAGTCAGACTCCGGGTCAGTAAGAACAGGAAGAGAGGACTCTGGAGGAGATGGCAACGGGACACGCAGAGGAGCAGTGGAAGGACGCAGTGCCATCTGGTGTGTGCCTGGGACCGCAGGAGGACGCGGACGCGGAGCACGA